CCTACCCACCGTGCCACTCATAACTTCTACCGACCGAGCCACTCCAAGCACTTATCGATCGAGCCACTCCAAACACGTATACCGACCGAGCCACTCCAATCACCTACCCACTGAACCACTCCAACCACCTACCCACCGAGCCACTCCCAGCACCTCCTCACCGACCCGCTCCAAGACCCACTGAGCCACTCCAAGCACCTATATCGACCGAGGCACTCGAAGCACCTACCCTCCGAGCCCTTCCTATAGACTAGATTCCGCTATTTTTAGAACAAATATTAGAAGAAGAAGAAAAAAACCGTGAAATAAATGTCGCGCCGATTTGTTGCGTTTTCGTTTTTTACCGCCATACAACGTGTGGACCAACAGAAAGAGTACAGCATGTTCCACAATTTTTAGCGCTCAGAAAAAGGGACTCAAATCCGCTAAAAAATTAAGGGTCTGCAGGTTTGATCTTGATGTTTCCACGAAAAATGCTTTAAAAAAAAAAAAAAAACGGTTAAACCGAGAAAACAAAAAGCATTCAAACCGCAAAATAAATGCGGAACCTACCACTCCAAGCGCCTACCGACCCAACTACTCCAAGCACCTACCGACCCAGCCACTCCAAGCACCTATACCAACCAAGCCATTCCAACCACCTCCCGACCGAACCACTCCAAGCACCTAACCTACCACTCCAGGCACCTACCGACCCAACTACTCCAAGCACCTACCGACCCAGCCACTCCAAGCACCTATACCAACCAAGCCATTCCAACCATCTACCGACTGAACCACTCCAAGCACCTATACGGACCGAGCCAGTCCAAGCACCGACCGACTGAGCCAGTCCAAGCACCTATACCGACCGAGCCAATCCAAGCACTTACCGACCGAGCCAGTCCAAGCACCTACTAACCGAGCCAGTCGAAGCACCTACCGACCGAGTCAGTTCAAGCACCTACCGACCAAGCCAGTCCAAGCACTTACCGCATTAGAAAAATTGTGGGTTTTTTTTTGGGCGGTTTATCATATGCGGGCACCCTTTTTAAACTGTTGGTTTCGTGTTAATAAATAGTTTGCCCGAGGTAGTGTCATGTGTTCCACCAAAAGTGAAGGAACTCAACGTTGATAACATATGTCATAAACATGTGACACTGTGTTAAACACTTTTTCAATTGATGAAACGTTGTTGATAAGCTGTTTATAAGTTGTTGTAATGTTGTTTACAAGTTGTTTAAATGTGTTGAAATGTTGTTGAAATGTTGTTTAAATGTGATGAAATGTTGTTGAAAT